TGAATTCATATGACCTCAGAGCGCTGGCTCAGTTTTTGCATCACCTCACTCTTCCCACTGTTTTCTATGCTTTATCTGCCAGAAAAAGGAAGACCTGTAATGCCTAACACTTTGTTAACTGCACACATTACAGTACTAACTGGCAGATCACAATCAGTTCTGCACCTGTCAAGTTTTCTAATATTATTCAAAGATGAAGGATTGTTTTTCCAACACATGCACTGAATATGGAAAATTATGTTACAAGCCATGTCACAAGTTCCATCTCAGTAATGTACAGTAATGATATTCATTTGGATATCCTCACATATCAAAACAAGTGTCTCCTTAGCCCATGAAGGAAACTTTGAATCAATTCTTTGAAAGCAAATGTGATCCTGCTTTGCCTTTTGCAAGACACAAAGCCAGAACAAATACTGTAAATATTTAAAACCTGCCCATTAGCAGATGTTTTCCTTCATGCTTAGACTGCCAAAAGTAATTCCCAAGAAAATATTCTTTCCAAAATCAAAGCGATTATTACAGTAAAATATAGCTCGGTAGCCCCTACACTGGGCTCTGCAGGCCCATTAACACCAAAACCCACAAAATACACACAGTCACACCACTGTGAAGTGCTTTGAAACGTCTCAATGACATAATAAGACATTGTATCAAATGCAAGGATTATAATAATTATAATAATCATTGCATTTGATATGGCACCTCATCACGTCTTTCAGACTTCTCAAAGCGCTTCACAGACTATACTGTAAAGTGAATTGTGTATTGAAAAGTACTGAAAAGTATATTGTGTGGGCGAAACTTGGCAGCCAATTGCACACAGCAGTGTCTCACAAACAGTCGTGGATTGGGTGACCAATTTTTTTTTAAGGAATTCTTACCCCCCAGAAAAACGATCTGCCAATCGACTGACAACAGGGTTCTTACTTACTGCTAAGTAATCAGAGGCATGTGGAGTAACAAAACTTGCACAATGTTTCGTCCCGCCGAGAATTGAACCCAGGTCTCTCGCTCGTGAGGTGAGTGCTCTAACCACTGAGCTACAGAATAATTAATATATAGTTATATATTAGACTTTTCATACTACCTTAGTGAATCAATTTGAAGATTGATGTTTAAATCCCTTCAACAACAACAAGATTACATTTGTATAGCGCCTTCCAAGATGTTGGACAGAGTACAGCATTTCAGACCCGGGTTGGGGAGGGGAACGGGGGTGGCTGAAGGTATGGTCGAAGAGGAGGGTCTTGAGGCGGGACTCGAAGGAGGCTAAGGAGGGGGCGAGGTGGAGTGACTGGGAGATGGAATTCCAGAGGTTGGGGACAGAGTGGCTGAAGGCTCTCCCGCCAATGGTGGGGCGGGTGGGTCAGGGGGACGTGGAGCAGGCCAGAGCCGGCTGAGCAGAGGGAATGGGCGGGTTGGTAGGGGATTAGGAGGTCGCAGAGGTCGGGTGGGGCGAGGCCATGGAGGGCTTTGTATGTGAGGACCAGGATCTTGAACTGGATCCTCTGAAGGATAGGAAGCCAGTGGAGTCGGGGGAGATGAGGTCACGGAGTTTGGTGCGGGAAAGGACACGGGTTGCAGAGTTCTGGATTATCTGGCCGACAAGCAGGGATTTGCATAGTCGAACCTGGAGGTGATGAAGGCACGAACAAGGTTTTCAGCGGCCTGAGGGGGTGAGGTAGTGGTGGAGTCGGGCGATGTTACGGAGGTGAGGGAAGGCAGAGCGGGATATGGTTTGAATGTGGGGGAGAAAAGACAGTTGAGGGTTGAACAAGACACCGAGGCTCCTGACTGGCTTGGTGAGTTGTAGTGTGCAACCATGGAGGTTGATGCTGCCAGAGCCTGAGGTGCTGAGGTGCTGGCACGAGCCAAGCAGGAGGGCCTCAGTCTTGTTCACATTCAACTGTAGGAAATTTGCCCTCATCCAGGACTTGATGTCCAACAGGCAGTCTGACAGGACAGCAGTGGTCCTGGAGTTGAGAGTGGAGGCAGAAAGATAGAGTTGAATGTGATCTGCATACATGTGGAAGTTGACCCCATGTCTGCGGATGATGTCACCAAGGGGGAGCATGTGTATATTAAAGAGGAGAGGGCCAAGGACAGAGCCAGGACATCTGGGGGACCCCAGATGTGACAGTGCGGGGGCTGGAGGAGAAACTATTAGAGACAATGAAGTGGAGACGGTGAGAGAGATAGGAATCGAACCAGGCAAGGGCAGGTCCGCGAAGATTGAGTAAAGCGGAGAGGCGGTGTATGAGGATGGAGTGGTCAACAGTATTGAAGGCGGCAGAGAGATCGAGGAGGATGAGGCAGAGTGAGCCCTGATCACAGATGTTCAGAATGTCATTAGTGACTTTGACCAGGGCTGTTTCCGTGCTGTGGGCAGCGTGGAAGCCGGATTGGAGGGGTTCAAAGAGGGAATGGCGAGAGAGAAAGGAGCGGAGCTGGGACACAACGACTCATTCCAGGACATTGGAGAGGAATAGGAGGTTAGAGATGGGGCGGTAGCTGGAAAGTTCTGATACAATCTCTGTCAGACCTATGTCTGACCTATGTCTTTCTGCTCATCCGATTCTGGTCCACTGTTCATTGTGGATCACATTGTCCCTCACTCTCTGGAACTCTCTTCCCAAATGTCTTCATGTTGCTCTTTCTCATCCTAACTTCAAAACATCTCTGATGCATATTTTTAATGTGCCTTTGGTCAACACTCGTAAAATCCTCTTCCTCTCCCCCCATCTCTGTGAGATGCTCATCTTGTTTGAAAGATGCTTTATAAATGTAAGCTTTGCAAAGTTAACTGTAAGATTGTAATAACAACTTTTACTGCACTGTAACCAGTATAAATATATATTTGTAATCCATCTCAAAACCTTTCTGTTCGACTATTCGGTCATCTTCCCTCCACCTCTTTCTGATCCCAACATGCAGCTCAGGTGCAAACCCCTCATTGTGCAGCGCCTTGGGACGTCCTCCTGACATTATATAAAATGCAATTTGTTGTATGAGAATGGTGGAGTAAACAGCCCCTTACATTGACATCAGGAATACTGTCAAGATTACCCTGTCAAGATCGATCTGACCTTGAATTCACTGTTTTTGATTTTGTTAAACCACGTGTATGGAATACATAAGATTCTTGCTCTTGATATATGCAAACTCCTCATAGAATGGTAGAGTTCAGCGGAAAAAAAGATTTCTCTAAAACAAGGGCTTTTGCTGTTCTGGATTTTATCCCATTTGTGCAAGGAAATGCTGAGTTCAGAGGAGAGAGAAATGTACTACATTTTCTTAGGTAATGATGCATAAAGCATAGTGAGGCAAGGAGGCATTACTTTCGTAAGGAAATGTATTCTTCCAAGTGCAATACATTTCGGTTCAGCCACACACAGCTAATGATGTGTAACGAAAAAGCTTGGGCACACTTGGATAAATCCACATGACAGTTTGCAACTGAACCAGAACCACATCAAATGCACAAGGCACACATGCTGTAATTTTGTTGGCTTTGATTTCAGTTCCTTTTGGTACCGTTTGTCATCCTTCCTTCTCTTCCACCTATTTCTAACATGTTCCTATTTTTCTACTTTGTTGCACTGTGGATTCACAGGGAGATACTGGAATCCTCATTATTCTGCACTGTCACAGTTAATTAGAATTCCCAATATAAGCAAATCATCAAAGTGTTCTAATGAACTATCATAATTAACTCCTATTGTCTTGCAATTACATATTGGCTACATTTCAATCGGAAATGGAAAAACTGTTTGAAATACAATGCAAAGCTGTTTTTTACTACATGACTTTTAAAAGAAATTGTTAAATTTTTTAAAAAAAAATTATTTAAAAGATCTCAGGTGATCCACTGAATCATCCTTAAGGTTTAATATTTCACCCCCAAACCACCTTCACTTCACTTTACACTACTGTATATCCCTGTGAAGTGTTTTAGGACATCCTCCTGATGTGAAAGGCATTATATTGAATTTAAGGATTATTATTACTATATCATTGAAAAGCTGGTTGCACACTTGTCACTTAAACAAACTAGTTTTTGGCATCAGTTAGTGAGCTCTGTACTTGTGATTAATTGCACAGAGGTACCAAGTGCAATTTCAGAGTGAGAAACATACACCAGCTGTCTCACTGGGAGCAAGATTTATTCATTCCAACAGTATAAATCCAGTATTAAACTAACTGCTGTCTGTACCGAGCATAGCAAAAAAATCATTAATTTATGCAGCTGAGTAGCTCAGAACAATAAAGAATTAGATAAATGCTGGTGTATGATACTGAGTACAGACATCAATGTTAGTAGGTGTCAATTTGATTCAATGATAGCAATCTCGCCTCCAGGCCAAAAAGTTGTGGTTTCAAGCCCCACAATGGGAGGCGAGTTTACAGTCCAGTTTGAAAGTCCATTCCAGTACTGAAGGGCAAACTGCATTATTATTATACAGGATACAGTTTGTCATTAACTTGAATCTTTAATCAGTAACTTTGTATGAAGTGGATGGATATTTCTATGCTCAGTAATCTTGATTTCAGCAGCCTGTAGATCACAAACAAATCTGGAACCTGACAGAGTGATGGCTCAGTTGATAAAGTAATTGGCTTGAGTAAACCTGCACACATATCTGGAGGGAACCAGATTCAATTGCTGGTCTGTGCTGGATAAGCTGATCTCAGACCAGCAACAACTGGGCAGTTTAAGAGAAACATACTTAAATGTAAAGAGCGAGATTTGGGGAAAACAAAAGAGAAACTTTGAAAATTATTATAATAATAATCCTTGCATTTGATATAGCGTTTTATCACATTGTTGAGACGTCTCAAAGCGTTTCACAGAATATACTGTCGAGTGAATTGACTATGTATTTTGTTGGGCAAAATAATCTAATAAAAATAATATAATGAAATAAGAATAATCTGAAAAGAAACTAGCTCACTCATTCAGTTAATTTTTTGCAAGTGATAAAGCATGTTCAGCTTACCTTCAGGTATACACTGGCCAAACACAAATCTGAAACCCTTGCAACATTTCTTCCTGAGTATAGAAAAGCAAACACAAATACAGTATTAGGATGAGAGAATGCAAAACGAGTCCATAATTCTCCTGGACATTGCTAGAACTTCATGGAGATACTATTCCAAAATCTGATGTACCGGTCACACAACACTCTTTGTTTCTGCACTGAATCAATATTAAAAGTACAGAATATTCTTTGTTTTAAGTGTTAAGGATATGGTTTTGATACCTTTTTAAAAAAAAACGGTGAAAAAAACGACTTCCAAATAAACACTGAATTTAAGTGTTTTCCAAAACGCAGCATAAACCTAAATTTTTAAGACACTGGGGCAAAATTTCTAGTATTCCTCAATGTGTTCCTTGTCTTAATTAGCACGAGGAACACACTAACGGAAAATTCATAATTCTTTTCAAACTGATTCCTAACTAGCATCTCCCTTACAAGGCATCTGATTCCAGGCTTCCCATTCCCTGAAGCTGGTTTCTCCCAGTCAGCTGGCCTCTTGCAAGTTAAGAAATCTTTTTATAGTGACCTTCCTAATGCAGGCCTGTAACACTGATGTAAAACACTGAAGTGTCTCAAAGAGCTTTGCAGACAAATGTCGTCTTTGTATATCTGTAGGTAAATTATTTCGCCCACAAAAAATTCACTCTACAGTATATTCTGTGAAGTGCTTTGAGTCATCTCGAAGACGCGATAAGGCACTGCATCAAATGCAAGGATTATTATTATTAAATGTGGCAGCAATTGTATGCACTGCAATGTCTCACGAACAGCCACTCAAATAAACTGGCCAATTTACTGGAGAATTGGTGGCTGGGACACCAGGAGAAACATCTCTATTATCTTTTAGATACATTTGAATATAAATACGGGACCTCATTTAATAATAATAATAATCCTTGCATTTGATTTGGCACTTTTCACATCTTCTAGACATCTCAAAGCACTTCACAGGATATACTGTAAAGTGAATTGACTATATTTGTGGACAAAACGTATCATCCAAAGAACAGCACCTCTGACAAAGCCTCACTCCCCTCTGTCCTGCATTCAATTCAGAATGTCTGTAGTGTGACATTTCAACAACAGTCATCCTGTGGGACATCTCAGTGAAAAGTGTAATCAATTTTGCATTGTGCTCTGGGTTCACACCCGTTACTAGGAACTGGGTGAGGCTTCCCAAACACATTTCACTTAAGACTCTATAGCCATTAAAGAAAGGAAATTTGCCATCAGTCTGGACTGAAGTCAAACTCAGAGGTGAAAGGATAGTGTGCTAAAGCACTGTTCCACTGTTCCACCCAGTTTTCCTCTTCCAGTTTCCTCTAGAAACTGGATATAACTTGCTGAAATTAAGTTGGTTTCCATTCTTCTGATGGCAAAGCTGTAAATTTGAAATTCATGCCTCCTTTAGTTTATGGATTACTCGGGAATGGGTTCAAATGCTGGTCAACCCTGGAATACTATAGAACCAGTTTAGTGACAGATTTCCCTAGTTATCTTGTGTGTGTGTGTGTGAGTGTGTCTCCTACGAAGTATGATATCTTTAAAGATGAGAGAAGCTAGCATGTAAAATAGTGTCATGGATGTTAATAATAATGATATGAAATAATGGAAAGCATTTGATATACTGCTTTTCACGCCTAGCGCACGTCTCAAAGCGTTTCACAGGATATTCTGTAAAGTGTAGTGAATGTATATTTTGTAGGCAATTATTCATTAGAATAAGGAGACCAACAGCATTTCTAATAAGGCAGCAGTCCTCAAGTACTGTATAAGAGTGTCAGCCGAGACTATGAGCACAAAGTATTTGACTTGAACCCAGAAAGTGGCCCATCAGGCAAGAATGCTACCAATTGAGCCAGGCTGACACTCATACAACTCCCTTTGTGGTTCATTTGGTAAATTCACTGTCCATTAGATGAAGAGGTTCCCGGGTTTGATTCTTGATCTGTTGAGATAGCCATTCACAGTCAGGTCTGTAGAGGTGGCCACAGATTTAATAATAATAATCGTTGCATTTGATATAGCATCTTATCACGTCTTCAAGAAGTCTCAAAGCGCTTCGCAGAATATTCTGTAAATTATCTGTATATTTTGTGGGCAAAATGCAGCAACTAATTGCGCATAGCAGTGTCCCACAAACGGTCGTGGATTGAAGTGACCAATTTATTGTTTTTTAAGGAATTATTACCCCCGGAAAAGCGATCCTCCAATCGACTAACAACCGGGTTCCTACTTACTGTTAAGTAAACAGAGGCATGTGGAGTAAAAAAAAACTTCGCCTTGCTGGGAATCAAACCCAGATCTCCCAGCTTGCAAGGCAAGTACTCTTAACCACTAAGCCACATTTGGCCTCAATGGAAGAGACATGAGCCAGGCTGATGCTGGAAGTCACTCTGAATTGAATGCAGTCCAGGTGGGAATGATGCTTTATATATACAATAACCTCTGCCGGAAAGTGCATGTGGTTCAGTGAGGGCATGATCAGATATCTTTGAGATCTCCTTTCCGCCCACAAACCCCCACCCCCACTTCCCCCCAAATTGGGTTTCCTACAGTAAGATTGGGCTCACACTCTCACACATGACAAATTGTAAGGTCTCAGAAGTGGGCAATGTCTGTTTTATTTCAGTATGATCAAGAGAAGAATCGGAGAGGAGATTTTTAAAAGGTACATTTGATTCATAATATTAATTCTTCCCAATTTTATTTTAACTTACAGATACCACTCGACCTTTGATCCTGTTGTTTACGAACCTTGAGATGAAATGACCAAATCAGAACCACTTCAAATTGTCCTTTATTCTCCCTTTAATCCTCTTGCCTTTTCTATAGGCTTTTTGCTTCATCCAATAAACCCTGCTATTTCCTGGGAAATGGAGACAAAGAAAGGTTTAAGAAGGTAATTGCTCCTCACACAATAGAGGGTGGACTGAGTTTGCTGATCCAAACTACGGTGTTGACCAATTAACTTTTACTGTCAGCCAGCTGTCTGTTGGTAGGGAAACAGTGAGCTCACTCTGGGCTCCTAGATGCAAGGAACTCTTACCTGACTCATAAATTCTGCAGATGGAGTTCAGACAGCAGCATTAAAGCACTGATGAAAAATCACTATCATATTCACTGATCCGACTCCCATCTGACCCATGACCCATCTGATGCCCTTGAGTCATTACTGCCATTATTATTTGTAGTAGTGCCTTGTGCTGCGGATGTCTTGGATGTGTATCACATCCTAGCCAATTGTGTGTAGTCGTGTTTTCCCTCCAGTGATTTACAACTCCACAAGTGCCTTTTAATCTGCTTTATACTCCTGGGTGTGTTCTCTGCTTTACAGTGTGCTGTTGCGTCTTGGTTAGAGCGCTCTTGCAAGCTAGAGGACCCAGGTTCAATTCCCAGGCTTTGGGAAACCTTAGGCAAGTTTCCTCACTCCCCATGCCTCTGTCTACCTAGCAATAAGTAGAAATCCGGTTGTTAGTCGATTGCTCAGTCAATCCACAAATGTTTGCGGGACGCTGCTGTGTGCAATTGGCTGCTGCGTTTCACCCACAAAATACAGTCAATCCACTTTACAATATATTCTGTGAAGCGCTTTCATATGGCTCAACAATGTGATAAGGCTCTATATCAAATGCAAGGATTATTATTATTACTGTTGAACATTTCCAATGTCCTTTGGTAATTTTTATATTTGTGGTGTACTTTGTATTTTTCAAATGTTTCATCCTAATTAGGATCCGGGGTAATTCTTCATCACCACCCCAATTGACAGAAACTTTGGGAAGACAGAAGAATACCCCCTACCCCCAGTTCAATTAGAGATACAACATACAACAAATCTTCCTTCACAATACTGTGAAGGTATGGATTCACTTACCTTCTGATCATTTTCTACACTACACCTGATGATCATAAAACAAACATCAAATATATGCAGCTTAACCTCAAGGTTCATTACATTTTTATTCCTGTGACCAGGTAACAGAATTTAAGCACCAGAGGAATGCTCTCTTTCCCATTAAACCAGCATGACATTCTCATTCTCTTCACCACTTGGTGGGCTTCTCAGAATTAAGCCAGTGGAACTAAATGCCCACTTGGGTTTCTGCCAAAGTTCAAGCTTCTGACCCTGCAAGAGGAGACCTTTGTTCCTGGGACAGATCCAACGTTCAAGGATCTTGTTCAATATCAGTCCTCTAATGTGCTGTATAATCAACCTCTATTCTACTTCAAAGCATGGTAGCACACAGTGGTTTCTTCTTGCTGTGTTCATTGTTGAAGAACCTTTAATAGTTTTATAGTATGTCAGTGTGTGTGTATATACTCCATCCTCAATTCCAGGGCCACCTCTGTCCTGAAAGAATGTCTGTCAGACATCAAGTCCTGGATGAGAGCTAACTTTCTTCAGTTGAATGTTAACATAAATGAGGAGCCTCCTAATTAGCTCCCGTCAGTGCCTCCACACCTCAGGCGCTGACAGCATCACCATCCAAGGATGCACACTTCACCTTACTAAGCCAGTCTGGAACCTTGGGGTCTTGTTTGACCCTCAACTATCCTTTCTACCCCACATCCGTGCCTGACCCGCTCTGACTTCTCCCACCTCCGCAATATCGCCTGGCTTCGCCACTGTCTCACACCGCAGGCCACCGAACCCCTCATAAACACATTCATGACACCCAGGCTTGATTATGTAAACTCCCTGCTTGTCGGCTTCCCCATCGCCTCCCTCCATAGGCTGCAGATCATCCATAACTCTGCAACCCATGTCCTCACCCACACCAGGCTCCATGGCCCTATCACCCCCATCCTCGCCCAACTCCACTGGCTTCCCATCCCACAGAGGTTCATGAACCCACAGGTGAAATTGTGCGCAATTCCCAAAATTGTTCTAGCTTTAATTATCACAGAGAGCCTTGAGTCTGCTTCTGCTTTGGAAATACCTTATTCATTAATTTCAGATCTTGTTGAGAATGTGTTGAGCCAAGAAATAATTAGGTAATATTTATATCTGTATGAAAACAATGGCAAGTTTCCTCACTCCACATACCTCTGTTTACCTAGCAATTAGGTAGGAACCCAGTTGTTAGTCGATTGGTGGATTGTTTTCCGTGGGTAATAATCCCTCCAAATTTTTTTAATAAATAATAATTTGGTCAGTCAATCGACGACTGTTTGTGGGACACTACTGTGTGCAATTGGCTACTACGCTTTTCCCACAAAATACAGTCAATCCACTTTACAACATATTCTGTGAAGCGCTTTGAGATGTCTCAACAGCGCTTTGGGATGCTATATCAAATGCAAGGATTATTATTATTATTATTAAGGATTATTATATTATTATCAACCTCTATTCTGCTTCCTGCTAAGATGTGTCCATTGTCAGCCAAGCACATCTGTGCTACTTAAATTTGATTGATTTGCATTTCCACAAGTTCAGCTGGAAAGAATCTGTTCCTTATGTAATTCTCAACAAACTACGAACAGATTTATAGGCTTTATTATTAGGCCGCCATTCCCACTGGTGACATGATCCCCCAAGCCTGCATGAATCTATATAGAGTTTAATGAATTTTTTTTAAAAACAAATGCAAATGCTCTGTCATTGAGCCATATCTCTAATTCCTCTTCCAATGAGCAGTTTTGTTAGCTGACTCGGGTAGGCACTAGTACTGTATTCATCTTGAAGACACAAGCTGCAGATTATTCAGAGCTCTGCAGCTTGTGGTTCCCCATTTCCCAGAGGATTGTGTTCAAGATCCTTGTCCTCTTTTAAAGCCCTGCATGATCTTGCCCCTCCCTATCTCTGTGACCTACTAAAATGTTACAAACTGGTCGCTCCCTCTACTCAGCAGGCACTGGCATGTCTGCTCCACCATCGGCGCTCAGGTCTTCAGCCTCCTCTCTTGTCTCCTTCAAGGCTTGTCTCAAGTCCTTCCTCTTTGACTGCGTCTTCAGTCATCTTCTCACCTCCACCCCACTTGCCCTCCACCCCTCTTGACTCCAACCCTGAGCTCAGGTGCAAACCCTTGGGACGTCTTCTCAATGTGAATCTCAATGTAATTTTGTTGTTCTTGTCATCGTATATTGCACTGTGATATGTATGGCACCAGAGGCTTCAAATGACACCACATCTCAGCCTGTAAGACTATTTTATCTTAACAGTTGTTTCAGAAACTTTGACTTTTAGGCTGTAGGCAATGTTCACACCTTAAATCGTACAGATAATCACACTGGCTGCTCCAACCATTAACAATACTTCGGATTGACTTTACAAAGGAGTCAGAGGAGGAGGTGCTCTTCTTCTCTGACTCCTCCTCAGCCAGAGAGACTCCACCTACTCCCCAGTGAGGGGTACTTTTTTTTAGATGTAAGTCTCGTTTTGTAGCCTCCAAAAGAGTGAAGGGGTGAGTGGAGACACCAGGATTTGGACCCACAATTTTCTGACCTTTACTCCAAACGAGCTGCCCAGAGTAATCTTAAAACAACCTCAATGCATTTCCATTGCTTTCGTGTGGGAGAAGTTACAGTGATCGAATGTGTGACTAATTACAAAACTACTAGTGCTGTAGAACCATTAGCACTGAACCAAAAACACTTGCTGAAATAACAGAGGAAACACACAGTAGTGAATGGTTTGAACCTTTGGGAGCTCAGACAGATTAATGGAATGGCCTTCCTGTCTCTGATCTGTCCTCGGTTGCAAAATGATACAGTAAGTAAGGTATTAAGCGCTGGCAGAATTTATTCTGTTTAAAGAGGAAACTAATCATCTGAATTGACACATAAGCACAAGGAGATGCGTATGCAACTATTGCTGTGTCAGTCACTTCCTTCCTCCTGCGTATTATGCTGTAATATATTTGCAACACCTGCCTTTGGTACATTTGCCTTTGACACAAATGATGGAATATAAATGAGGGTTTGAGGGGCCTTGGAGGCAGTTCCACACCATATACAACCTCTAAAAGCAGCATCAATCTGCAATGCAAGGTAAATGCTCCTTCCCACTGCTGATTGTGATTCACTAGCCATCATCTTTCTCCTCCAGGGCCAGAGCTGGCAGCCAGCCAGTGTGGATCATTTTAAGATTGATAACTTGCCTTCACAAACGGTAACATCTTCATAGAATCTTATAGCACTTAAGGAGGCCATTCGGCCCATCATTTGTGTTTGAACCTTAACACATAAAACAACAAGATTACATATGTATAGCGTCTTTCACGTCGGGAGGATGTCCCAAGGCGCTGAAAACTTATCCATAAACTTATCAAGTTGACCCTTCATTCCTTCTTGACCCAGATTCTGGACAGAACAGTGATCAAGGGTTAATTCTTTGAAGATGATTAAAGCAGAAAGTAGACTCAAACTGAGCAGCGATTTGGTTTGAGGGCATGGGAAAGACTTTTATAGCATTAGCTTAAACCTACAGAGACCCAGCAGAGGATTCAACCATACAACATCCACCTCTGATCTTGCTTGGCTGCACAATATTGTTTCTGACAGCATTTTGCAAGTCTAACATGGGTACAATACATCTCTCTCACTTGAACCTTAAGAGTAGCAGAGGCAAAATCTGTCAAGTAACCCTGAACTGAGAAAGGAAGCAACTGAGCTTCAGGCAAAGGAAACTGCCTGAACTGAGAAAGGAGTCCTGTAGCTCAGTGGTTAGAGCACTCGCGTTGCAAGCGAGAGACCTGAGTTCAATTCCAGGCAGTCCGAACCCTTGGGCAAGTTTCCTTACTCCACACGCCTAATAATAATCCCTCCAAAACAATAATAAATTGGTCATTTTCAATCCACGACTGTCTGTCGGACACTGCTATGTGCAATTGGCTGCTGCGTTCGCCCACAAATATACAGTCAATTCACTTTACAGTCTATTCTATGAAGCGCTTTGAGACTTCTAGAAGACGTGAAAAGCGCTATATCAAATGCAAGGATTTATTATTATTATTATATCACATTATTTTGTAGTTGAAGTTTGTGGCTCAGCAAGTTAATGAAGCTTTAAGGTTTAACACAATAATAGAGACTCACCCATGCACTAAATACAGTCTAATCTCTGGGAATTGAAAAGTCTGTGTCCTGATCTGTTTCTTATGTCGTGCTGCTTCCAGACAATGATCTTATACTGTTGCTTTATTGACATTAGTCATGGACTCTTCTATTGTAATCTGTCTGGCAATTTTAAAAATTCCCACCCTGTTTAATGGAAACAAGCCAGAAATAAAACTAATCTGTGAATGGTTTTATTTCTACTTAAGTTCAACCCATACTTGAATAAAACCAGACTTTCCTGGCAATCAGATGCCCTCTATAGTGGTTGCATATGTTACTTTTTTTCAAATTATCTACCAATTTTGCTCCCTCCTCGCCCACGCTCCTGAAGATGTCTGACTCCTCCTTTCTTCCACTGTACCGGGATATGGTTTAACAGATGTTGGTCACTGCAGTCAAGCATAGAGGGGAAATCACAGTGAGTCCAACCTGTCCTCATCCAACACACAAGGATTTTCTTGGTATATATACTGTATACTTTGTGGGTGAAATATGCAAAGCTTTAATTGTTTCTCTCTATTAATGCAACACAAGAGTCACGCAATCATAAGCATACGACTTTTCATGTCAGTGATATCCAATGTTGAGTTAAAGCAGTTTAACAACAACAACAAATTACATTTGTATAGCGTTTTTCAAGTCAGGAGGACCAGGGAACCAGCAGTAAAATATGGTCCACAGGGCAGCAATTTTAGTGCAGGTCACAGACATGTTTTAGATCCAATAATTGTGGTCAATCGAGGGGATGGGAGGAAGAGTTCACCAGATATCAAATGAGACATTGATGGGTTTGAGTCTTCAACCAAGTGATAATACTAGCGGTG